CCCCACCCAGAGCTGCTCTCTGAGGCTCCTCGCCAGCGAGGCCAGTTAGGAGTCGGGCTCAGCCCCTCTCCCCGGCACTGCTTTATCTTCACATAAAGAATTGGCTATCGGAGAGACGGACGGAGGGTGCAGAGGAAAAGGGCTCAGCCCAGGAGGCGGGAGCGCCAGCCAAGCAGCCTGGCGCATCCCAAGAGCCGGGCTCTGCGTCTCCACACCGAGGACAGGCCCAGGTCACAGCAAGACCTTCTCCCTCCCTCCCTCCCTCCCTCCCTCCCCAGAAAGGCCTTTCTGCAGGGGACAGCCCTTCCTGCAGGGCCAGCTCATACCTTCTCATGAGGGCGTCGTGTGGGTTTACACCGCTGCCATCTCACTACCCCTGTTTTAGTCCTGCCCGCTATTGAGGTTTACAGGAGCTATTAACACTTTGGCAACTCTTGGAACAAAGCAACATCAAATACGTGGCAAGAACTCCGCAGAAACGTTCACAGGCCCTGCCTCAAACTCCGTGCATGAATCTTATAGGAAGCTTTTCTGGAAGACAGGAGTTAACAAGGATTTATTTTACTTCCCTTTCCCTACAGGGAAGAAAGATTTCTGGTTTGCATTCTGAAAATTCAACATTTTTCTTTCTTTTTTCAAACTTGACGCCAAATGAGGTTTGAAATTAGATCCAAAGTACTCCTTTTTTATAACTAGAAAAAAAAAGCTCCCCTAAAGGCCTAGCAGGTAGATAGCCCGAGCCCTCATTCTCTGCTTGGTTAGAACCAAACCCCAGCAGAGGTAAGGCAATGAAACACGGATGCTGAAAGCGGGGGGCAGAGCAGAAACATCTCTGCACCTTCAAGCTGAACCACGCGGCACCTGGGACACGCTGTGACTATGCTGACTTGCGCCCTGACAGTTATAAATGGAGGAATCACTACCAGGCACCAGCATTCAATATTCTTCTCCTCGTGTGTAGCTGCAACACAACTCTATTGCTAGCATTATTTTTTTACCAAACCAGGAAGAAAAAGTCTTTGTCATCTCTCTGTTCTATAAAAAAAATACATCATTTGTATCTGCAGTCACTGAGTTTTCCTACTTCTTTAGAATAAATAATAAAAAGGTTCTAAAGCATGTATCTTCAGAGAAAATCTCATAAAGGACAACTGTAAATAGACATAAGTGTAATTTATGACAATATTAAATGGACATTTGAAATCTGAACTTCATTTTGATAGCTTTAGCTGCGTGTTTTTCACATAATTCCTGCTGGTTATTGAGCTCCCTGATAGCTTCTTTCCATGAAAAAACGTGTGCACATAAAATCCTTTAAGGACACAATACTGGGCAAATGTCACAAACCAACGCAAGAAACACGCCAGCTCACCCCATCCAACCACACAGGGATGTAAACAGGGACTTTGCACTTCCAGTGCGACACGTTATCCATCGGGGCGGTCCACGCTCACCGTGGTTAGCGGTACAAAGCCCCAAGAATTAAAGACCACAAACACATTCCTCAGTCCTGTGTTTTGGAGGAGAAATTGGCAGGCACGCAGACTGATAATTGGATACTGGCATTGCTATTTCTGGGACTCTCCAGTTGCCCTGAATTCTAGAAATGGGCAAACCTCAAAGAATTTTTTAGCGCTACGGGACAAGTTAATTCATCTTAAATGAAAATGGGGCAAAAAATACCAAACGAGCACGTATTTCCAGTTCTCTGAAAGAAAAGGCACCATGAGAACAACCTTTCCTGCACCTTTCTCTACTCAAGTGCAAAGTGCGTGACGTTGCTTTGCGCCCTCAGCCGTCACGCTCCACGGGCCAGCGCCAACACGAGCTCTTGGCCAGCGGCCCCTCTCATCTTCCGCCCTCATCCTCCTCTCTGCCATCTCAGCTCAGGCCAGCTTCTGAATCCTGCGAATTTCTGCATTCACAGCCCAACAGAACCAAAAGCAAGATGACAATTAGAAAAGAAATACTAAAACATTTGGCCCACTCTCTCTGGCACCTTCCCACATCAAGTATTATGCCATGAAACAGTTTATAACACATCTCAAAGAATACTTACTTTCCTTTTCAACATGACCAACACATAAGCATGCCCCAAACACCAATCTGCATCTTTCATATTCAACTGCACCATTTTCCATATCAGTTTGATTACTTATATATAAAATATAGAACATATATAACACAAAACAGATTATTGTCCATTATAAATATATCTAGTATTTACTATCTTTGTTTTATCAATATATATCAGAGTCTAGCTGTATAGATTTATATATCTATATATCTTTATATATCTTTTGCTATCTTCATTTTATCAATATCGGTGTCTAGCTGTAATAATTTATATTACCACAAACTCACTAATAAACACAGACACATTTTAAAAATAGATTGGGACTAGATTTTACTAGTGAACATTAAACTCTCTTATGAGAGTTGGGTGATGGACAACAGATGTTATGCTAAAATTTATTTTGCCAAATGTCAGCTCAGAACAGTATTATTAATCCAAACTACACAGAGAAAACAGTGGAAAAAAATCAATTACAGGAGCATCTTGGTTTTCAGATAGAAATCTCATCAGAATTGAAGAGCCAAAAAAAAAAAAATCAGAAACTCTTATTGTTTAAAAAACAGAAACTCGAATTGTTTATTAGGATATGTATGCTCTCCTCTGGCATCTATTTTTCTTCCTGAATTAACTGGCACATGCTGCATCCTAAACCAAATCCTGCCATTAGCATGCACTGCAACATGACGTTTTCCAGTGGACCTTCTCTGCTGGACTTCTGACTGCCCAGGTAGACTTGGTGCCTACCTGTGATTCCCACCTCTGATTCTCATCTACTTCTACACAGGTCACTTCCTTCCTTCCTTCTTTCTCTTTCTTTCTTTCTTTCTTTCTTTCTCTTTTTTAAGCAGTAGTTGCTCTGTAAAGAAACACAAGATTTATGAATTGCCCAAATTGATCCCATGATGTTTAGCTGTTCTTGCTGCCTACGGTTGAAGCCCGAGCTGCACGCTGCTGATGAGCTATCGGGTAACGCAGGTACTGAAAGTTTGTCTTATATTTGGCCTCACGTTTCCTTTTCCTTAGTAAAGCCATTATTTCTAACTATACCTCCATGAGCTACGCTAAATAATTTCCTTCCTTCCTCCTTTATGACTTCTTCAAGCAACTGTAAAGTCCTCTGGCCCTCTTTCCTCTATTTGTCATTTTTCCATGGCTCCTTCAGTCTTTCCATAAAAATCAATGTGTTGAAAGTCTCCCGACTGCTTTTATTGTTTTTCCCTCTTCTCCTTCCAGTTTTTCAGCATCTTTCTCATACTGAAGGGTCAGCGAGTGCTACGCAGCAGGGACAGTTCCCCAAGCGTCCTGCCTAGCGGGAACACCATGAGCAGTGCCCCACATCTCCACAAGAATCATTCCCCACCAGCAAGTGGGCACAGCAACGTTAATGTTAGCACGCTCCATGGATAAACAAATGAAAATAAAGTTGGCAGAAGTATATTACAGCAGAACACATACCCCTAATAGAACAATATTTAGTTAAAAATCCCAAGTCAATCAGAATAATTATGACAATTAATAATCATAATAAAAGATTATTTAATGATCCCCTCTAAAGAGTTTATTGACTTCTATTTATATCTGGATTCACACTCTCTTTTCATCTGCAGAAATCAATGCACGTAAACTCTGCCGCACAAATGATACTACACGGAGAGAAAGAAAAGATCCAAAAAAGAGTAGATTGAAAGAATCTATTAAAAAACTCTCACATTTTACAAACAGATATTCTAAGCAATTACTGACAAACATCCAAACAACAGCAAATCAGCTAAACAGAGACGACCCCTTCCAAAAAAGATGTCCAACATATTTTAGACATTTCATGGATACTATTACCAACACACTTTTCCTAAGGAGTGTTTTTATGGATTGCAGTCATTTTTCCTCCAGTTTAGTTCAGCCCTAAGGATTGAAAACAATATAACGACAAAGCAATGCTCTTTTTCTCCAAGAGCATTTATATTCTGGAATATAAATAGATCAGGTTGTGAATGCAAGGAGAAGAGGAATCTTTTCATTCTGCTGCTTGAATACTTTCAGCATTGTTGTTAGGTGAACCCAAAAACTTGCCCATCATTAAGTTTCATGTAAAAATATAAAAAAAAGTCAGAAAAAAAGCCCACAAAACACCATCTGCCGCAGAAAACTCTGTATAAATTAACATTTACAATGGGTTTAAACTTAAGTTACAAAAAAAAAAAAAAAAAAAAAAAAA